TATAGCATGCAAGAATTTTTTTCTTAACGTCCAAAGACATAGATTTATTGGATAAAATATAATATATAAGAGGCACTAGTACTTGTTCAAGGATGGATTGGAGGCTCTAAGTGTGTTTCTATAATCTTAAGGTAATAAGTAACTGATGGTTGTTATGTACAATCATCTTGAAAGACAGAAAGATGCCAACATGTATATGTTGAACATATATCGATAGAAGCATTTTTTTTCTGTTGCTCCTTCCGTCTTTTATCCCTCAGTAAAGCAGAAACAGTCAATCAACTCAGCAGAAAGTATTTATGGAATTGTAAAAAAAAAAAAAAAATTTATTTGATTGTGCTGCTAAAATTCTGCACAGAATGAGGTAGCCATTCTGATTCTGATGCTTCCTTACTCTAGGACATACATAAAAGGTTACGGCATTACTCATGGGTTGCAACACACAAACCGCAACATTGTAAATTCATAAAAATCTTGCAGTAAAAGCAGTTGGTATCACACATACATATTGCAGTATTCTAATTTCACAGAAAACTTGAAGTAAAACGAATCAGTATAATTAAAAGCATGACTTGTGTAGTTTGTGTGTGACCTTTACTGGAAATAAAGTCATTCAATTCTTCATTCCGTTCAAGTTTACCGATTATTTCCTTTCATATGATTTTTGTACAAATCTTTATTTTATTAGTGATCTGTGTGAATAAAAAAAAAAAGACCTAGAAAGATTGGGGAAGGGAGGGGGGGGGGGGGGCGCTGGATTATTTTCAACAAAATGGTTAAGTGCTTCACTCATGTCCTAGAGATCATAAAAGAGTATCCAAATACCGTGCTAGCGAAGATCCCAGTGTCTGTATGCCAGACTCATTCAGTAAATATTTTGTCTCTTGACATTTTGTGCACATACCATTCTAAAAAAATATTAAACAAACATTTATTTCAGACTGGATTACTTCTGGTAGTAACAGTAGTGTCCTCACTGTATCCCATAATTTATGCAGAAATTACTCGCAAATATTTGGAGCAATTTGAAATTGATCTTCTTGTCATATTTATTGGTAGGTGCTTATTTTTATGTAAATTGCTGCAATATTTAACTTTAATCAATCAAATCTTTCAGTCATGTGCATAACTTAACTTTGACTTCAGAATACAGGATTCAAAATGAAGGAATGTTAATTGTCTTAGATTGCACATATCCTCTGGCCCAATTGGAGGACAGGGCATAGCAGAATGTTTAGTTTTGAAGTTATGTTTGCTTCTGACAGCCCTTTACTAATGCAATTTCCACAAATGGACTGCCTAAGCTGCTGTTAAGTGCTTGTTGCAGCACTGTGAGCTGTTTTTCACTTGGAATGCCTTTCATTTGTGCAGCGGTTGAGTCATGGTATTCAGTATCATTAATTTAACCTGTGTTTAGCCAGTTTATCGTGACCGACTACTTCCATCAACAACAAACTGCATTTCTGGTAGCAACTGTTGGCTTTGGCACCTCTGGCAACTGCCTTTTGCATTTACTGCATGTGCATATTTCTAGATTGTGCAAGGACTAATTGTTTGTTCACCAGTTTTTAAAATGGGACAGTGAAGAGCATTTTATTTGATTTTCACTGGCACAGGAACAGAGCAAGTATTGGATGACCTGACTGCAGTGAAGGTGAAACCATGACTAAGACTAAAACTAAGGTTACACATGAGATACCCCAGTTAGAAAGGTAAATTCTTCAGCTGACATTGATAAAGTCTAGACTCAGAGCAGAGCAGCAAGCAGTTGTTGATGCAACTAATGGGCTTGAGGAAAGAAACATTAAAAACAGTGAAATTGTATTCCTGTGTGACTGCATGTCAGTCCTCCAGGCGACTCAAAGAGATCCCCGCGACACCATGGATAGAGAACTAACCCATCAGCTAAACAGAAAACAATCAAATCTTTCTCCAGTGGATCCCAGCTCACTGCGGCATACCAGGAAATGAGTTAGTGGACAGACTTGCAAAAAAATGGAACTAAGGAGAAACAGCATACCCATTCATTGACCAGAAATCAAAACACTTATCAAAAGAAAATACAAAGAATTATGGAGAGAACAAACTAACAGTAAACATCTACAAGACCCCATCAGCAGACTCAACAGAAAGCAAAATACAACAATTGTCTGTCTATGAATAAAACACTGTAGGCTCAGTTACCACATGCACAAAATAAAGACTGTACAGTCCCCACAGTGTGTCAGACAGGACCACAGATACCTGAGCACTTTCTGCCGACCTGCCCACTCTACCTACAGCTTTGAAAAGAAACCTGGCCTCAAGAGCAAAGTGTGCTGAGCAAGCTATGGGGAACCATGAAGGCAACCCAGCTGATGGTCTGACCCAAGCACATGAAACCAAACCCAAAGAAGAAGAAGATAAAGTCTAAACTGGGACTAGTGCAAGCCAAGGCTCACATAAAAGTCAGTAATGATGAACAACATGGCAACTTGCCTGTAGTCCATCCACAACCCTTTGTTTTGTCTACGTTTCTGACAAATAATCTGCCATGCCAAGATGTCAGACTGTCCAGCCTCTTCTTTCTCGCTCTCCCTCTGCTTCATTTCCCCCTCCAACTTTCCTACCGTCACAATACCACAAACTATTCTTCTTTTCTTCATCTCAAAATGTAATCAAGGGATTTGGATTGTCTCCTCCTGGGATGAATTATCAGTTTCTTGTGTAAGTTAATTTCTCTCAAGACATCATCATTTTCATCTGTCCATGGTTTTCTCATCATCTGTCCATACAAATCACATCTCTGCAGCTTCCACATAATTTTTCACTAATCAGCCAAGTGTCCACGATTCACCTCCATGTACCACGATTGTAATTAAATAGCTTGTAAGAACTCTCCTCCTCACCCCTGTGACAAAGAAAGATTGCATAGAATATTTTTCATTTTGTAAAATGCTCCCTTTCCTTGAGCTATTCTACTTTCAACTTCTCTAATGCATCTTCCATCTGCTGTTATCAAGGTACCCACATACTTAAACAAACTGACTTGCTTTAGATTTACCCCACTTACTTTAGACAGTACATATATCTAAAGTATTATCTGCCCACTGGCCACTGGCAAGATTAAGGTCCCTTACATACTTTCTAAAATCTATTAGAACTGAAATCCTGGCATTTTGCTTTACAAACTTTGTAATGTTCCAGCATGTGATCTTGTCGGTGGTAGACTATGGTCTTGGAATGCTTATCATTTAAAGAATTTGCTCAAAGTCATGACGCAGCAGCAAATACCCTAACTTAGGCAAAAATGATCGCTACACAGAATTGAATTGAATCAGATAGCAAAGAAACCGTCTTCAATAAAGCAGGCCTTCGGGCAGCTGAAAGAGGACCAAATTTGACATTTTTTGTTTGGTTCTGCAAGTAAAGTCATATCCTAAAGTAGCTGCAGAGAAGAAGCATGAAGCCCTGGGTAGAGCTGAGAATCACAGACTAAAAAGTAGAAAGGTCTTGGATGGCACAAGCTGAAGACACAGTTAGACATATGTGCAGGCTTAATAAATTTGGGTGAAGAGAAGACTGGGTTAAAGTGTCTTAGCAAGATTCCAACTTGCCTGGGGTCCTAATCACATTTGGGCCATGAGTGCAGGGACTGGCCAGTGTGTGGTGCAGAATCAGAAGTTTAACAAATGATTCATGACAATCCCGCCCATGATATGATTATCTGTGCAGATGGCTGTGTGTTGAGGGGCAGACAAAGTGCATGGGGTTCATAGCAAAAGCAAAAAGACGTCACCTAGTTCAACAAAGTCTGCAATATTATACTACAACATCTAGTTTAAAAATGGAATTGGAGGCAGTCACTGCTGTCTTAAAAACCAGATGTACACACATGTCATAATTATAACTGACCCACTGAGCATGTTGAGAAAGGTGGAGATAGGCTCGCTCCATACTGAGTAAAAAGCATCACTTCAGAGGTCCCAGGTAATAGGCATCCTTGTGATATTATCTCCAGGTTATGCCAGTATGTTGGGAAATGAACGAACAGATAGACTGGCGGGTTCTGCATAACTTGGTGGTGAACTGATGTAACAAGTCAGATTTTGTAAGGATTCTTTGGGAGAGAATGAACAGTGCAAAGGCACAAATAAATCATGATATGAGGAGAATGGTGCTGCGAGGAGTTACCAGGAGATCTGGCCGATGCTTAACACTCAAGGGAAGGACGAGACTTCTTTACAATCAGACAATTACTGGTGCCAGAATTAGAACTCTTTGCTGCTGCTGAAGATATGGACAGAGCACTTATAGGAATGTTCCAGGTGCCATGCTGTTTATTCCTAATTCAACATTCAAACCCTGTAAATCTTTGGTTTTGCTGTTTGACCTCAAAATTCTCCACACACATTATAAAACTAAATGCAATTATATTTGCTTCATTCATTTCAGTCTGTTCAACATTAGCACTTATTGTTTGTGTTTTCAATGCACTGCTACAAATATTTGTTGGCGTCAGAAACTACAGGTATTTATGAAACTGTGCTATTTTAACCCAAACTGTAAAATTTCAGTACATTTTTAAAATATAATTTTTACTAAATCTGTTTAAAAAAATAGTATGGACACTGACAAAAGGTTATGGTTTGGAATATGCTATCCATAACGCAGACGTGTTTCGTCGCACATTAAATAATTTACTTAGTGTAGAAAACAATTAATTTTAGTACCTTGTTTAAATATTCTTCAAACCCATATACCATATTTCCACAAGTATAAGATGCACTTATTTTAAAAAAATACAGGGTCTAAAACCGGGTGCACCTTAAACAATGGTAGTAAATTTTTAAACATATGATTTGTTAGAAAATATCCCATACAGGGTTTCATTTGGGAATGGGAGTTGATAAATGTTGCTACCCCATGTTTTAGTTGATCAGTTTAGCACTAATTTATACTTTATAGTTTATCTTGATGGCAGCCATGACATTACTCATCATTTGTTTGCCAGGTATGACATGCTGAGGATCTACCAAGGGTACAGACAATTTGGCCCAGTGGCAAGTAGGACACCTCAGAACATCCTGGTATGCATATATTTATTATATAGACGCGCAGCCTGTCAGTCACTCTTTTAGGGCCAAACACTCATAATCTTGGAGGCTGTGACAAGAAAAGAAAACTCTCCAGAAAACATCAAAATGTTTTCAAAGATCAGTGGTAGAAAATGCAGAGGCAGACTGATATAAATAATGCTGGACTATCTTTATTATACTATGTTAGCCCCTGCCTCTCTTACCTGGTGCTGTGCCCTTCATTGCTTTTCTTTCCAAGATATTGTGGCTAAATTTATTTCAGTTGCTGAGACAAAATGCTGTTTTTGAGCCAATTTTTCTCATATAAGGATCTTCTAGGATATCATTTACTGATCCATGGTATCCTAAGAATTTTTCTATAGTATTTCAGCTTGAAGCCTGAATAACTACAAGATCATCTTGATATAATGAAAGATTTCACCATGATGGTTCTGGAACCAGTTTTGAGGGCAAAAGAAATACACCTCATAACAAACAAGCGGTAAAAGATGAGCAATGAAGGGTTTGCTGAAAGTAGGCATTGGCCCAGAAAGGTGCATATATCACAGAATATTTGTAAACCAAAACACGTCAGTCACTTCTTAACTCTTTTAGTACCAGAAGACTTTTCAAGATATTCTAAAGGGTAGCAATAGTCATAGTGAATACAGAATATGGCGACCTGACTGTCACAGATGTAGCAACACATATACCTGGTTGGGCACATTATAAAAACTAGCCAGGTTTATGTAGTATGCTTAAGCTAAACATCAGATCACACTGTTGGTTACTTGGTACACATGGGCAGCAGTTCATCACACATGCTATGTTGTTTGGGACTGGAAAGAATTAAAGGTGAATAAGAAGAAAAATGAATAATTTTCATAAATTTGTTTACATAAATTAGTTGATTAAAATGTTTGTGTAAATAAAAACATAATTTTGTGATTCTTTGTTTCTTTGTATTCAGACAAGAAGTATGATGTTTCCTGGTTACCAAATGGCTTTCATGCTGTGGGGTAGGTTCTGTGTTTCATGAGAACACTGAGCGTGTACCTGGTTAGTTTATTTCAGATGCGAATTATATTAAAATTACATGGCTAACTATACAGTTGATGATCTATATGTATTTTTTTTTAGACAAAAATTCAAGGATTCCTTCTTTTGCTTGTTTATTTTTCTGATTTATTTAACATTATTGAGTTATTTTTGTAATTGTAGTAGTATTCTTAAAGAGAAAAAAATTAAGCGAAGTACATGGGCAATAAAACTGCGCACAAGTGGAACAACAGTCAAGGAGATGAATGGCACCTTTGCAGCTACAGCTAGCAGCCTCACAATGGAAAGGGTGGCTGTAACAAGGGCATTACCTTGGCTGAGTACTCAGAAGTTCACAAATGCGTACACACTTAGTGACTCAATGTGCCTTAGAAAATCCAGGCTAGGCTCATCAGACAAGAATGGATTGTAACACCAAACAAATAGCTGGCATAACCTTCGTCCTTTTGCCCGGTTATGTGGGTGTTCAAGGCAACAAGGATACAGATTGTATTGTAGCATTGTGGTTGCTATGGTTGCACGGGACAGTAGCGATGTTATCAATGCCATGCTCAGCACTTACTGTGAAGACAAAGGTGGCAAAGGGCATGACTGTATCCCTGTCTAGGATGATACGGGTGCAGCCTGGAGCTCAAAGAAATGAACATTTTAACAAGAGGACAAGACATTTGATTAATCATCACAGAACAAGCGTCATCAGTCATTTTGTACTTGTGGAGGTTTTCAAACGGAGATTGGAGCACCTATGACTCTGTCTGGAGTGCTGTGATGATTATCTTCATTATTCACTCATGGTTATCGTTGCATGGTTATTGTGAACCACTACTGTTGTCTGTATGCTGCATCTTGGAATATCTTACACCAGTTATAAATGATCATTTACTAGCACATAATTTTCTTGATGCGTCAGATATGTTCTTCAGAAGAATGTTTACAATTTCTTGGACAAATAAAATAAGCAACCTAAATGTTTTGAAAGATGTTGAACATAAAAGCATCTTATCACAAACATCTGAAATGGATGGAAGTGATTGGTTACATTGTGAGAAGAAAAAAACTTGACATGTGACAGCTTGAAAGATGTGTGTGGAAAAAAGATACAGGAAGACAATGAAAGAAGGTTCTTTGTGTTTCATGGTATTTGAGGAAAGTTTCTGTAACATTTAACCCTGTCATCCTGAGAAACTACAAAACTGACAGGTCTGGTTGGGTCCAGTTCCCCATAAATGTCACTTTCTGACTTGTCTGCAGTTACATGTTTACAAGACTCTTAGTTTATGTGTTGAGTGTGTTTGGGTCTGATGTGTTGGGTATATGTTTGGGTCTGATGTGTTGGGTATATGTTTGGGTCTGATGTGTTGGGTATATGTTTGGGTCTGATGTGTTGGGTATATGTTTGGGTCTGATGTGTTGGGTATATGTTTGGGTCTGAAGTGTTGGGTATATGTTTGGGTCTGATGTGTTGGGTATATGTTTGGGTCTGATGTGTTGGCTGTGTTTGGGTCTGATGTGTTGAATGTGTTTGGGTCTGATGTGTTGGGGTCTGATGTGTTGGCTGTGTTTGGGTCTGATGTGTTGGGGTCTGATGTGTTGGTTGTGTGCGGGTTTGCACAAACATTTATGAGATTTAGATAAGAATATATTAACTGAAACAAATAGCTTTAAAAAAATGCCAAGTTGATGTCAAATCTTTGCTAAGCCTCATGAGGTCATGACCTGAGTTACTTGATACATATATCTTTTAAGTTGCAGGAAATATATTCCATTTAATACATCACTCTGTTCATGTTTATTGATCACTAATTTTATATATTTTTAAATATTAAATTCTTTTAAACATTTCTTCTTCTTCTTTGTTCACCGGCTCTAAACTCTAGTGGAAAGTCTTTGTTGTTCATCTATTTAGATTTCAGCTTTGTGCCAGGGCCTGAGTTTTCTATGTATATCCATTCTCCTGGCTTTTTTGTGTGCAGTTGGTTGTTCGTTGCCACTCAGGCAGATGCACTCTTGACTTCAAAGAAAGCTCCCAGATAATCAACTCATGCGATAAGCTTGTTGATGAGGCAGTGGGTCTATTCTTTTTTTCCCACAGCGAAGGGATTTTTAAAATATAATTAAATTATGTTTTAAAAATTAGGGACCTGTGTAAAATTGTTGTTAATAGGGATTTGGGGGAATTTTCCTAGGGTCATGACTGATGTTTTTAAAGCATTTCCAGTGGCAGTGGGGTTAAGTTCAAAATCTAAATTTTCGTCTTTCATGAATGTAGAATGGTTACTGATTCATAGCTGCATGTTTCTACAAAAAAGATCAAAATTACCGAATTTTGACTTATTTTTTCATAATTAATCATGGTTACTAACATTCTTGCATGTTTGCATTTTATCAACAGGAATTATCTTGTGTTTTGCAACAGTGTTTCTCTTGACAATCATTCCAATTTTAACCTTTTACTTCACTGCCAAGTTCAATGTGTTGGGTACTGTGGTTTTGAATCTTGCTCAGGTATTGAGGTATGAGATTTATTTACAAGTACACATTTCATAAAGCATAATCTACGAGTATAATCATGTATCATTCACATTATAAATGAGTGTCACAGTAGTAGATACCTGCTTGCTTATAAGACTGGTGGTCATAAGCCATATCTCCCCTAGAGGTGTGTATTTAAGAACAGCATTCAGCTGGACTCACTGGTCAACCTAGCCAAAACATTAGGTACTGTAGTATGTTCCAGAAGTTGTACCCAACTTTAAAAATCTGTAACTCAGTAACCGTTTGGTTACAGTTATTAAAATTTGGCATGTAATCTGGTAATAATTGTGTCCTTGCAAGAATTTAAAAAAAAAATGTAAAACAAGCATCTAGTTTTTATTTAGCCTTTTATTTAGCAAAAAGTCAGCGTGCTTGTTGTGTGCTAAAGTGGCCAGGATATGATTCACACTGTTGTACTAACTTGCGTGCAAAACTGTCAAGAAAACTCAACGACATGTTTGCCGCCATATATGTACATTTATTATCACAATTTCACCCAGGTATAGACAAACACATACCAAAGAAGGTAAAAGGTAAAGTCAGGAGATGGGAACCAGCATTATTGCACACGGTTATAAACCATAGGTGCTCTGCCACCAGTACGGACAGTTGATAAGAAACTGTCCGCCTCTGTCGCCGTCCGTGCGTAACTCCGTAGCTACAGGGACCTTCATTCGTTCACCACAGAGTGTCCTAGAGGCAGGGTGAACCCCGGGAACCGCCCGGTTTCGAATACTGAGAATGGCTGCAGCGAGTCACAGCTGGATTTGAAACTGAGCCTAACGGGGATCCTTCAAAAACCCATACATATAATCCTGCACGCAAAGTAACCATACAGGTCACTGGCTTATTATGAAGTGAATGTCCCTCAGCTCGCTAATTCAAACTGACACAACAGCGTTCTCTCGGACAGCCTACACTAGCTGCCACTTCATGCTGAGCTGACCACTACAGTGCCTAGGTCCCCTGCTCCCCTCACTTCAGGTCTTGCTGTACGGATGAACAGGTTACATTTCCTACTCAACTTGACCTGCATTGCTATATAGGTAGCAGACAATGTCACATTGGCTGACTGGAAAACTTCCGATTCTTGATCTCCAATATGTACACACAGCACATCGGCCTCGTCGAAGAAATCCCGATAATCGCCAGGACTCCATGGCTGAGTCTTCTTCAACACACAGCTGTCGCCGACATCTCTGCTGTCTTGTTTTACTAATGATTCTACAACCCCACTTAAGTCATCACCCAAGACAGCTTGTTCTTGAAGCAGTCTAGCTCCCTAGGCCTAACACTGCCACTGGACTTCTCTTCCTTTGACTGCACTCTCGACTGTCCTCTAGACCAGTCTCTCGTGAGTGCTTTCGCCTCAGACGTTCTCAACTTTTCTCTCCACATGTAATAGCAGACCTCTCTCTCTCTCTCTCTCAACCCCCCCACTATATACACACGTCTGTCTCTTATGAACCTATGTGCACACGAGACACTCACTGTTATGCTTGATTCCCCTTTCACTGAGAACACCATACTTTCCATTTTATAGCTGCTATCCATGCGCTAAGTATGATAATTAGCCTGCACTGGGCTAATAACTTTGTGAATCCACTGGTCTATCCAGCCTGGACTCAACACTGACTTGTAATATTGACTCGAGCCGGACTGACATCTTGTGGCTTAAGTCAACACTGCACCAAATATTGACTCAGCCAACTGACATCTCCTGGCTTAAGTCAACACTGCACCAAATATTGACTCAGCCAACTGACATCTCCTGGCTTAAGTCAACACTGCACCAAATATTGACTCAGGTCACCGAACATTCCAGTGGACTCCTGAAAACACAGTTCACATGACATTGTCCCCAACAGTGTTACTACATTTCTGAATCCATACGAATCTGCAAGCAACGGTGCTTACAGTTAATTAAGTAAGTGAAACTTTTCAGAACATGAAACCGCTCCCAATGCATAGGTGTTTCCCTCTCAGGTGATCACCTCCAGGGTCAGTCTCCCATGAGCTGTTCATTTTTCATTATAGGCTATCAAATTATCACCATGCATCACTGCACACGTGAACTCAAATTGAGACCATCTCTATGCATGTGTTTCTTACTGTATATTCTATATTTTAGGAGTACACAAATTATTTGACCAAAAAAGAAAAAGAAAAAAACAAAGAAATTAAACATTTTAAATTAAAAAAAAAATCTAAGACCAAATGCAATAATGTGTGTTGATCCTTTTAGGAGTTTCTGAGATATTGATGAAAGTTTGCAGGCATCACTTCTGAAACACACTATAATATAAGAACATTCTAAGGAATAAAGCGACCATTGTGATATTGACCACCCAATACTTGTGGAAAGGGCTGTTGAAATATTGGTCTGGGATCTCTATGCCCAAATGATGTGAAAAGGTACTAGACTGTACTTTTATTATTTCAGATAATGATCAACTTGGTATGTTTATTCAGGTCTTTTCAGACAGTTATCTGATGCATTTCAAGTTCCTAACCTTCCTTAGTGATGTGTAGTCTTATATTTAGGGATGTGTAGTCTTATATTTAGGGATGTGTAGTCTTATAATGGCAAACTACTGGACGTAAATTTTCCTAGAGAAACCACACAACAGCCAGGGGCTGCTGGGGTTGGTTCTGCAACGTCCTGTAAAGGATACGCAACTATAGTCTTATATTTAGGGATGTGTAGTCTTATATTCTTGCTCTTTCATATTGTACAGTTTGTACATTCTTGTCTTATCTGCTCAGCTCTCCACTACCTACATAGAATTATAAAGAAGTTTACACAAAATATGTCCAATATATTATTGTTTATTCTAGCTACTACTAGAATACTACTAGCTGTTATGGTCCAGTCTTAGTCAGATTTAACTGAAGTATTGAATAAAAGTAGCCAGTACCACCTGTCTTCTGTTAATGCCAAATGTTTGGTGGTGTATACCAGACCTGACATCCTATATTGTGCCAACGGCTTGGGCGGAGGAGCGCTTTGAGGAGAATACTAGCCTTATCCTAGGAAGAGGAAATGCTACCTGAAAACCTTATGCTATGGCAGTCCGCACCCTTAGCCTTGGCTAGCATCTGGTCTTGGAGGGAAGCTCTTACAGATGAGGTGGGCAGATAGAGCACTGCTCTTCTGATGTGGCAGCTTCTGCAGCCTGCTTCCCCCCCCCCCCAGACATAATGGTGTTACCTTTCCTTTGGAGTAAACAAGGCAGGTCAAAAGAGGGACCATGATGCATGGGCAACATATGGTCTCTACAATACTGCCCAGGTTTTGTGCTATGGAGAGAATCACTTGTGGGAACAACATGCTATGGACTGTCTTGTGTGGAGGGAGCACATCAGAAAGGGTATGAGAATAAGGAAGAAATGATAGCAGAAAGGATGAGAGCTGAGCGTCTGAGAAGAAACGATTATTACAAAGATAAGTTCTAGAGGGGTTTTAAAGGATACATGACATTACTTTTTTTATTATTGTACTGAAAGAAATATTCATTTCAATTATGATTATGAATATTATAGTTTATTACTTTTTAAATTCATTATTAATTGTTGTCGTATTTTTAGTTATTTATAATTGTTATTATATTTGTAATTATTATTATTATATCTTGCTTTCAGCTTCCCAGCAACAGTGCTAATTATGTTTTACCTGCAAGTTTTCATGACGAAACGAGTTTTACTGCAGGACAAAGTGAAACTCACAGATGAAAAGCCACCCCTTAATGTGGACAACAGGTTTGTAAGGCAGATCTTTTATTTTAATTATGTAACAAAATAAAACTGTCATTAATTTAATTTTTACACACACCAATAATGTGTATGAGA